CCTGCTCGATAATCTTATCCATCTCCGCCCTATGATGCCTTCTCTTCTGCTTCACCGGCCTCACGCTGAGGTCGATGTTCAGCCGATGCTCAATCACCTCCGCACTTATCCCCGTCAGCTCCTCTGCCATGTAGGCAAAAATATCCGCAAACTCCCTCACCAACTGGATCAGCCTCGACCGAACCGGCTCTCCCAAATCCCTTCCTATCCTAAACTTTCTTTTTTCACACCCTTCAATCATCTGAACCTCCTCGACTTCCTCTCCAGGTTGGATATCCATTTTCTCCTTGCCCTTCTCCACCTTTTGCCTGTTTTCCTTCGACCTTGATCCCCCTGGTCGATTAACCTCTTCCCCTCCTGACTCGGCCTGCCTTTTCGCCAATTGTCTGTTATTGCTGACTGTTGTTTGATAGCAACTTCTTGAAGTGAGCTGATCCCCGGCGATCTCCCCTACGTTTTCGCCCACCGGATATTTGATCGTCATGTGGTACGTGGATACGACCGCCTGGAATGCGTTCAAGCTCGTTCGTCCCATGATGATGTTATAAGATGACTCAGCGCCTACGACCACGAATCTCACCATGCGCACCTTTCTCAGTTCTCCTGCTCCCAATGCCACGGGCAGGCTGACTTCTCCCATCGGCATAACCTCTCCTCCATTAAAACCGTACAGCGCCGTGATTACCGGTTTCAGGTCCATATTCAGCTCCCTGTTGATCTGTATAAAACAGTCATAAAACATCACATCTACCGAACTCCCGGTATCAATGAACACCCTCTTCACATCAAATCCTGCGACCTCTGCGGTTATCACCAAAGCATCATTATGTGGCAGGACCACTCCTTCGGCACCCTCCGCCTTAAAACTTATCACCGGCATTTGGGCCGTGATACTCACCTCCTCCATTTTCCTCTTCATTGCTCGAACGTGACCTTTCCTCGCATTGTTTGAGTCCCCGTCCGTCGGTCCTCCCGAGATCATATATATCGTGCCTCTCTTCACCTGGCCTCCATCCCCTTCTCTTTCCTGCTCTCTACTTCCTCGCCTCCTGTTTCCCTCATCTCGTTTTTGACCATATCGACCACCTCGCGCATCCTCATCATCATCTTCCTCACTCCTCTCTACC